GTCCCTAATTTAGCAGTGCAAGACTAGAGGGAAGGCAGCTAGTCATCACCGCCAACTATCGGGCTACTCTTTTAACAAATAATAGTGGGATTGACTGTCGCATAATAATGCCCCCACCATTGATAGGGTGAATATGTTTGGTATGACAGGGATTTGAATCCGTGACCTGCAGATTGCAAGTCCAGCACCCTAACCACCTGTCCATGCCGGACTGTCCAAATATGAAACTTTTTCAGTGCTTATATATATATATATATATATATCTATACACATTCTTGGATAGATGATTTTGATATCTTTCTTATGAAACTACTTTGGTGGTCACTAATTCTAAATGGGCTAGCTTTCAACATGGTTTCTGACTCTCTGATATTTTACTCAGTATTAAGAAAGCATTTGAAACTAGTTTGAGTATAGCTGCAGAAGTGGAAATACCATGACTACAATCTCAATGGTGCAACTGTTTCATTTCACTCCATACAAAATTTATACCGAAGCTGCAAAATGTAAAAAAAACGTTAATCTAAATTTAAAGGGTATGACAGTAACAGTATAAGTTGGGGTTTAAAAATCAGAGTGAATCGATCAAAATAGGAATGGATGGCATCTCGGTCTTACCACAGATCGTGAATACCACTCCTTATACACAAGCTTACATTTCTTTTTATATGATATTATCGATGCTTGAGTTTCAAAAGTTGTAGTGCTGGAATGCATTAATTCAACTGCAGTTAAAAAATTACCTAAAAATAACGTACCTCCACCAGTGCTATAATGTACCTCTACCAGGGCTACAACGTACCTCTACCAGGGCTACAACGTACCTCTACCAGGGCTACAACGTACCTCTACCAGGGCTACAACGTACCTCTACCAGGGCTACAACGTACCTCTACCAGGGCTACAACGTACCTCTACCAGGGCTACAACGTACCTCTACCAGGGCTACAACGTACCTCTACCAGTGCTATAACGTACCTCTACCATTGCTATAACGTACCTCTACCAGTGCTATAATGTATCTCTACCAGTGCTATAATGTATCTCTACTAGTGCTATAATGTACCTCTACCATTTCAGACAGCACAAGTGTACAGGCAACACCACAATGGTGATATTCTTTTGATGCATTTTCATATGTACATGGTCAAATTCAAACATAGTTTTCTTTAAAAAGAATTCTATGTATTGTTAAAAAAGTTCCATAAAAGTGCCAGACCACCATTCCAGCTATCAGAATAAGTGCCAAAAAGGCATTCTGTTACAACCCAGAGTATTGGATATTACAGAAGTGGACAAGAGGGTTGTTAATATATTCTGTCAGTTCAAGTTGATCACATATCACAGCATCATTAAAAAAACTAAAAAAATTGTGATAATAATGAAAAAACAACAACAAACATTTAAGTTAATCATATAACAAAGAATTTGCATGCTTAAGATACTCTAGTAAAATCAGACAAATCTTGTTGGAGCTAAAAGATGTCAACATGATGACATTTTAAGAAAATTCAGCTTCTATCAAAACTAAAAGAGAAGTAAGATGCAGAAACAAAAAATTTTAGGTGCTAAAAATTAGCATATAATATGAAAAATCTACTCAGAGAAAAGCTGTCGTTGTCACCTTAACTTAGCCTACACTAGGGCAAAATGAAATCTAAAATGTCTTGCACTTTGCACGAGTTGTTTGCATGTTTTAAGAAGCAATAAACAGGAATAATTGTAATGAATATTATTTTTGTTCCTAGCTTTTATGCATCAAAGATGAGAAGGACTGAAGTTAATATATTTTTGTTGAGTTGAAATCTTTATTGAATTGCACAAATAAGTACATTTCAAGTCTTTTCTTGAGCTTGCAGATAAAACTAATGCAATGGATTAAGATGAAAAATTAACTATTTTAAGACCATCACCCTCTATTGAGTTGTTGAAAGTTTTGTACACCTTTTTAGGACTATAGTTTCTCAAGTGTGTAAACCATTCTGTTACAAAATCTTATTATTTTTGGTTACCTTCTACAACTGTTTAACACAGGACAGTATCAGCTGTTAACCATGTTACTACTACTACTAACAAGAATACCAGCACACATCAATATTAATCTTCATCTAACAGGATAGTACTAACTGTTAACAATGTTACTTCTATTAACAAAGACATGTTCAGTATTTATCTTCAATAAACAAAGAAATACGTAGTATGCCTACAAAAACTCTTACTTATGAATTCTTTACAGAAAAACATGCTGATGATAAACTAGTCAGTATAAAAAATTTTTTGATGTTTTTCTATTACCTGAACTAGATTTCAATAGACCATTCTGAAGTGTGATAGATGTAACAGATGAAGATAAACTGGTTGTAGTGTTTGTAGTTGCTAACTTCTGCTGCTGAAAGAATACATGTTATACATTTTTCTTCGATTACAAAAAATAAAAAGAGTTGATACTGGAGAAGTATCCAGCCGATTAATTCTTGAAAACATTCTTGTTACAAGAACACTTAGCTATAAAACAGAAAACCATCTTTATCAAAACTGTTAGAAAATTTCTAAGTCTGATTGCAAAGAAGAATTATAAATTAAATATATTATATTAAATGCACAAATCTTAAGAAGTTAAAATAATTACAATAAACAAGTCTGTCTTTATAGCAAAACACACACACACATATATATATATATATATA